GGTGGGGCGCGGGGGAAGGGGAGTAGTTTAGATAACCCAAAATCCAATCAACCCATTTCATTCAAATGAGTTCATGGGTTTTGGCAAATGGATCATGTTGGGCCGGCAGTTAAACAATGCTTCCAATGGTTATACTATGTGGTTGATTCTAGTGGGTCTTAAAAAGGTTATAACCGGGTTTTCCATTTCATTATTTAAATCAATATTTTTAGCTCCATAAATCTATAAGATCATAAATGGAGATCTTAATATATATATGGATTGGGTAAAGAACAATATACAGATGGTATAAAGGTCCATCCAAGTTTTAGGTAGGTATTGACAAGGTCAATTGAGTTGTTTAGGTGAATATACAGATGGTATAAAGGTCCATCCAAGTTTTAGGTAGGTATTGACAAGGTCAATTGAGTTGTTTAGGTGAACATGTACTGGTTCAATAGATAATACATTATGGGTTGATCCTTTTTTAATGTATTCTACTTTTGGGCCTTTGTGGACCGATTGAGAACAGTGTTCTGGATATAAGTTAACTAATTGACTAGGTTTAGTTGAAGATATGTGTTGGGCCATATATGGGCTAGACGAATTGATTGGGCTTTGCTGGACCATTTAAAGGAAAGTACTTGGGTTAAGTATAGTTGACCTTACTAGGTTACCAGCGGTTGGCTATTGCAATTGTTGAACTTTGGCTAGGCAACTGGCTTGGGCTTGGTAAGGCTAATTGTTTGTTTTTGTCAGTATCCCTCCCGAATTTGGAAGAGGTACTGGGTTTACTTTTCCGGCCTGCCATGAGGTTCCTGCAGAAATTCACGGGTTAGAAAATCAGGAACGCAGTTATTACTGCCTTTAACATATTCGATATCAAAATTGAAAATACTTAAAATAGATTGTCATCTGGCAAAAATCTGCTTATTAGCAATGTTTTGTACGTCTTTTTTCAAAACATATTTTGCTGATTTGCAGTCTACTCTTACTAAGAATTTCTGGTTTAGTATATCATCCTGCAATTTAGAGATACACAGGAAAATAACTAAAATTTATTTTTTTAATAATACTATAGTTTGCTTGTGTTTTGTTCCAGATTCCAGAGTGGAAAGGAACGATTTGCTCTGGGGAGTCCGGAGTGACTTTTTGTAAGAGGATACCACCGTAGCCAATGTCGGAGGCATCAATTTGGGTGATTTTAAATGAATCAATTGAAGGGATACCAAGACAAGGCAAAGTTTTGATGAACTGCTTGACTTGTTTGACTATGGAAGTATGGACTGAAGACCAAGGAGGAGGATTTCCTTTGAGTCTGTCATACAGAGGTTTAACGGTTTTCCTAAGATCCTGATAGAAGTCAGAAATATAATTTAGGGAACGTAAGAACATTTGCAACTGGATTTTGTCGGTTATTTCATCAGGAAATTTATCTGCAAACTGGATAGATCTGCTGATGGAAACAATAGTGGATTGTTGAATGTTATAACCAAGAAACCTAACTAAGGTTTGAAATAACTTAATTTTTCTGGCAAAGATGACTAGACCATTATGCTTGACAATCTCTAAAAATGCATTAAGATGTTTCCAATGTTCCTCTATAGACCTAGAGTAGATGAGTATATCATCTATATAAACTATAGAAAAATGACTAGTGCAATTAAAAATTTCATTCATCATATTTTGAATTTCACTTGGTGCATTTTTTAACCCAAAGGACATTATATTCCATTCGTAATTTCCAAAAGGAGTGTGAATACAGTTTTATACCTATCTTCTAGGGATATTAGAATCTGTCAGAAGCCACTTTTCAAATCAAATTTTAAAAATATTACTGAGTTACTAAGTCTTTTGATTAAATCCTGCTTGTTTGGAATTGGGTACCTGATCCATTCTAATACAGAATTTAAAGGCTTGTAATTAATTACTAGTCTTGGTGTGCCTCTTTCTAATTCTGCATTTTTGATGATATAGAAAGCTGGACATGACCAAGGGGATTTATTTTTCCTAATGATACCATTTTTGAGTAATTTAGAATTTTTTTTTTTGCAAATCTCCATTACTTCATAGTTCATTTGGATGAGTCTTGATTTAGTTGGGATGTCTTTTTCACTAAAACCTTTAATGTAAGTAAACTTAACCATATGTTTCTTCCTATGCCAGAAAGCTGTAGGAAGGTTAGAACATACTTCTGCTTCAAGTTTTTCTTTAAACCTAGCAATCTTCTGGGTTAAGATTGGGTTAGTTAGTTATTCTTGATTTCTTTTGTGATTAATTTCTTCTTTGAGAAATTTCACTTGATTAATTTTTTGGTTAATTAAATTAAGATACTTAGAGATTAAATGATCTTTAAGTTGTCTTAATTTTTTAACTTCTGGTTTAGTTATAAACTTAAAGGTTACTGATTGACCAAGTGGTTTCGTGGTTACACCGTTTGTATCAGTTGTAAATGGATACAATAAATATACACATGGTAAACCAAGAATAACATCATCAGTCATATCTTGTACTAGGATAAATGATGTTTTGAAACATACATTATCTTGATAGATATGCACACTTTGTAACTTGTACTTAACATTCATTTTGCTACCACTTGTTGAACTAAGTCTTTCTATGATTTTTTGATAATATTTTGTTGGAATAATCTATTCCTGGATACAGTTTACATCTGCACCAGTGTCAATAAGGGCAATGATTTTTAATTCAAAATCATTATCAATTATGATTTTAACTTTAGAGCGCCATTTTTGGAAATTTATTTTGTTAACTAGATTTATCCTATGATTATCATTAGTTTGGGAACATCCATCATGAGATGGTAGGTTCGTTACACCAAAAGGTTCCACTAGAGAGGTGGAGGTTATGAGTATCTCCTGAAAATGTGTTCCATCTAGATATTCTATTTCAGATTGTTCATTATCATGTGGCTGTTTTTCAGGATCAAAATCCTTTGAAGTGCCAAAACTATCTGTCGATAAAAGACTTAAAGCTTCTGCAAGTTTTGTCTTGAGTTTTTAGATCTTTTATTTCCAGTTTTAATTTGTTAACTTCATTTTGAAGATCTTGTAAGATGATTTCTTTCTTTTTCTCCTTACTGAATCTTTCCATTGCTTTATTAAAACTAATTAATTGTTTTT